GTTTGTTTTACCAAACTACTTACTACCGATTGCTCATAAACCGATGCTAACTTGCTGCATGTTGTTGTTGCTGTTGTTGTTGTGGCAGTTAGTTATACGGTTATATTTGTATATACCGAGTTGGTTGATGAGTCTCATTTTGTGGCACGCTATAGTATGAGGCTCTTCAGTACTCTTGCAGCATCGTCATTGAAGACGTGTTGGCCTGTCTGTGTATTTGCCTGTATTTGTGTGTATATGTGTTGCTTTGCATACTTCATTCAGTCTCTACTCGTTTCATCTGTCCGTCCGTTTAGCTTGTTTCGTGTATGATTAACAAGCGTGTTGAGTTTTGGGCGGTCCCGACGTGGTTGGCGATGACGACAACGACTACAGCATCTTATGATGACGACAGTGGTGGCGTCGAAAGTTGTGTTGTTATTGTTGTGTGCCTCCTCGACCGTTGTTGATTCTAATTTGCCTGGTGATTTATTGAAATCAAATGCCAAACAAGGCGCCAACAACTTGAGAAAAATAAACACTCGGCCACACCAAGCATTGGCCAACAGCAACAGCAACAACAACGATAATTGCAATAACCACATTTGTAAGCGACACGTCTTACCAAACACGGTGCGAACTGGTCCGCCAAAACACGAACTCCGTTTTGTATATAGAAATGAGTAGTAAAAGAAAAAAAAAAAAAAAGTTTTGCAAATTAAGACAAATCGATCAGACCGATGATTAACCTTTGTTGTTAAAGTTGACTGCTTGTTTAACTGTTTATTTGTTTGATTTTGTGTTTTGCATGTTCGCCTTTAGCGCCACCCTTTTTTGGTAAGGTGAGCTAAGCTATGTTAATGCCCGGCTTGAGTGCCTATAAACCCAAAGCAAGTAATAACAGCGATTGAAATTTGCTGAAAGGCAAAGAGCAAACAATAGAACTTTTAATTTTAGAGTATTAAAAATTAGCCAACAATATTTAGATTCCTTACAAATGGCATGGAAAGCTTGTGAAATGTTTAAAACAATTTCACAAAAGCTCAGAAGCATGCAAAAGACGCCCAAAAATATAAGAAGATATGACAAACTGTGAGTGACAGTTTTGAGGAAGTGAAATGAAAGCTCAAAAATGGTGAAAGCTCAAGAGTTCATACTATTATTTTTGAAATGAAAACAGCTAGCTAATAATATTTTTTTGCTTACAATACTTTAAATGTTTCGTTTTAAACTAAAACTTTTGACATTTACTTTTATTTAACACTTCAAAAATAAAAGCTTAGAAGTTTTTTTATATCTCATATTCAAGCTTGGCAGTAAGCTGTAGCATAGACTCAATTCTTTGAAATATCTTTAGAAAGTGTTAAAATCTGTTAAAAGCTCGCATAAAAGCTCGCAATTTTTTTTTTTTTTTTTGTGCCAGCAAGTGTCGAACAAGTTTTTCTCTAGAGTCAGACTTTCAATTGAAAATGCAATAAAAAAAAGCTGAAAGCTTAAGAAAATTACCAAAAGCTATACAAAAGCTTGACATCCTTTTTAGCTAAATATAACTTAAATAAAAAAATTCCTAAGCCATTTATTTAAATTATGAGCTAAAATATAATATAATAAACACTTAAAAGCACGCAAAAGCTCGAAAAACCTCGGTTGAACAAAAACGATCTCGAGTTTTTATTTCGAATTGTGTTTACGAGTTAGTTTGAAAGTTTTTAATAATAAATTCATTGAGAATTATCATCATAATATGATTGATTTTAATTTATCTTATGCGGATTTTAGTTGTTGTTGTGTTGGTTTTTACTCTAACTTTCAATTTTTCACCAGCCACTCACATTCATCGCTTTTATGTCATAATTTAAATGACAATTATTGGCGTTTATGACTTGACTGAATGTCAATGAGTAACAAAATATTCCACATTGTTGATGTTGTTCTTGTTGTTATTGTTATTGCATTAATTACTTGTAATTGACATTAAAAAATGAAAACATTCAATCCAACGTCAATGACAGCAAGAATAATAAAAAATAACAACCGTGATTGAAATGAAGTTGAAATATTTATGTTCGTGACAGTGTTGCCATATTTGTAATTATTAAAATACACGCACGCACACACACATTTTCCATCCGCTACTAATTGACCAATGAGCAAGCGATTGTGTTTGATAATGTTTTAAAAAAAAAATTAAACAAAAATAGAAAGATAGAATTATTGGAATCGTTTATTCTACTAAAAACAATAATAAAATAAATATTTAATATCTCCTTAAATAGCTACTAATGTGTTCACAACTCTGTAGGAAATCCCTTAACCAGAAATAAGAACTTTAAATAGCTTTATAAAAACTCTCAAAAGCTCCACAGCTACGCTTTTGAACTTTCATTGAAATAAAAATTCGAATATATTACGAAAGCTGGCTAGCTGAGTTTTTAGAAATGTTTTTGAAAAATTTAAAATAAAATTTTAATTCCGAGCCACAAAAAATGCTTTAGAAAGCTTAAAGCTCCTGTTTTGAATATTGTTTTATTTTCAAAAGTACTCTGCAACGCTTCGTAAGTCACCTAGCTGAGCTTACCCGTATAATTAAAGAAGTATTTCATAGACATCACTACCAACTAAAGTTTCTGCACTAATCAGCAAATCCACTTATTTTGCACTCAATCATCACCTACTCACTTTCAAATGGCCAAAAATAAGATAATTACCTTTAACCATAAATTTTTTCTAATTCAATAAAAAAAAGCTTAAAAAAACAACTCATGATTTTGGAACTGCAAGCAAAGGATTTTGTCACTTTAGTGTTAAGTAGCGGCGTATACTGCCAGCAAGAACCCAAAAATATGCACAATTTACTTATATATGTATGTACATTTGCTCATACGAATATTTAGTTGCATGTGCAACATTATTGCGTGGCATGCAAGCAAAAAAAAATATATATATATAAATAGACAAACATTTCTATGTTTTTCTAGCACTTCAACTAACTATTATCTCACATACGAATTCCTTTAGACATGTGTGCATATGTTTGTATGCACATACTCGTATGAGTGATTATTTATGGGAATGACGGTATATTGAGAATGCGAACATTTTATACGGTATTTTTCCACACATATTGATTGTAAATAATTGCCAATTCATAGCAGTTGTCAATTGGCATCAGCAGGAAAATATATTATTCCGCTTGGAAATGATGTGGTTCAGATATAAAATACTGAAAAAAGTAACAAAAAAACTAAAAAAATTAAGAAATAAAAACAACACCGAAAAATTGTTGAAAGAAGTGTTTTTTTTTTTTTTTTTTGCTTTTCATGTGGTTAAAAATGTGGCAAATGTGTGGAATATTTTACAATAATTATAGTAGTGAGTGTTTGTGGTAAATAGCCGCATGTTGGCAGAACTAACTTGGCTTGTGGTTATATTTTGGGTTTTTTAAACATTTCGCTAGACATGCCGGCACCGCTTACAATGTACATAAAGCAAAATCGCTTTTTTAGCTGTTGAGAAAATCAAAATTTCTTTAAAAACGTTTAGCTTTGAGCTTTGACTGAAACTCCTAAGACTTTTTTTTAGAGATTTCAGCTATTTTTATCATATTTAGGTTTTGTCTTAATTAATTTATATTATTTTATTTTAATGCTTTAATTTATATTTTGTTTAAATTAATAAATTTTATTGTTATTACTTTATTGGCTTTATTTTAATTTATTTTATTCCGTTCTATTCTATTTCTATTTATTATTATATATCATTTTGCTTTATTTTATTTTTTTTTAATTTTAATTAATTTTTTTTACAATATCTAACATTGCCTTATATTATTTTACTTCATTTTATGTAATTTTTTTCAGTTCAGTGTGCTTTATTTTATTTTATTTTATTTTATTTTATTTTATTTTATTTTATTTTATTTTATTTTATTTTACTTTATTTTATTTTATTTTATTTTATTTTATTTTATTTTATTTTATTTTATTTTATTTTATTTTATTTTATTTTATTTTAGTTTATATTATTTTATTTTATTTTATTTTATTTTGTTTTATTTTTTTTTTTATTTAATTTTATTTTTTTATTTTTTTATTTTATACGAATTTTTAATTAAACTTATTTAATTTTTTATTTTTAATAATTTTTAAAAGTAAAAAAGTTTATGTACTTTTTATCTATTTCTATTGAGATTTTTTATTTTATTGTAGTTTTTACAATTTAATTTCTTTCATTGAATATTTTATTTTATTTCTATTTTTTTCCAATTTATTTTTATTTGTTTAATTAATTCTTAATTATATTTCATTTTTATTTATATTTTATTTTTCTTAATTTTTTTTCATATTTTGACTTTTTTATTTCGTGTTTTCGAATTGGTTAATTTTTTAAGTTTTAATCTATTCTGACTTGTTTGATTTGATTTAGTTTAGTTTTTTATTTTATTTAAGTTTATTTTGCTTTTGATTTCGTGTTATTTTATTTACTTTCTTCAATTGTTTTGTTTTTTATGTTACTTCCATTTTTTGCTTTATTCTTTTATAAGTTTTAATGTATTTTTTTGGAGATGATATTATTATATTTTGTTTTATCTTTAAATATATTTATTTATTTTATTTATTTGTTTTATTTTGTTACAATTTTTTTATGTTTTTATTTCTTTCTTTGCTTTGTTTTATTTAATTTTTTGATTAATTATAGATTCATATTTTTCTTTTAATTTATTTTTTTGTTTAATTTGTTATTTTTTTTTTTACTTTAATACATTTTATTTTAATTTAATTTTTGTTTTCTGTTATTTAACTTATATTTTACTCAATTTTTTTTAAATAAATTTATTTTCTTTTATTTTGCTTTTTTATTATAAATTTTTGCTTAATTCAATATGTATTAAATATTTTTAATTTAAAAAAGGCACTTGCAATTTTTCTCATAAAATATTTTTCCATTAATATAATTTGTTTAAAGAATTTATATTTCTCACTCTCATGCATATATTTCTCTCTTCTCTCTCTTATTTACAGACGATACTCAACTCAATGCATAAATACCAGCCACGGTTCCATTTGGTGCGAGCCAATGATATACTCAAGCTGCCGTATTCAACATTTCGGACGTATGTTTTTAAGGAGACAGAATTTATTGCCGTTACAGCATATCAAAATGAGAAGGTAAGAAAAATGTTTAAGAAAATTAGTTTTTAGGGTGAAAATATAACAATAAATAAATTAAAATGTCTAAATAATTAATTAATTAATTAATTAATAAAGGCTTAAAAATTAATAAAAAAATAAAATGAAAAGTGATTTTTTAAATATAATTACTTAAAAATTAGTAAAAAAAAACCTTTAAAATTTTTTTAAATGAAATTTTTAATAAATTATAATTTAATTCGAAATTAAAAATAAAGAAATTTCAAAAATTTACAAAACAAAAATTCGATATGAAAAAAGTATTTAAAAATTAAAAAAAAAAATACCAAAATCAATTTTTCCTTCCCTTTTTGCAGATTACTCAATTAAAAATCGATAACAATCCCTTTGCGAAGGGTTTTCGTGATACCGGCGCTGGCAAGCGGGAAAAGAAGTAAGTATCACTAAAGTTTTGTTTATAAAAAATCATAAAGCATAAAATAAAAAATATGTCCCCACAAATTGAGATGCCTGCAAATAGAAGTTAATGTTTTCCTTGCGCTACAAGAACTTCTTTCAAAGTACGCCCCCTTTTCAGAGTCCAACTCGGAATCCAACTTTGACTATTTTCCATGAAATTGCGCTGTCAAAGCAATGACATTGCAAGTTGGTGTGTAATACACATGAACGTCTGTATGTAGACGCCTGCTCGTGTCAGCGGCGAAATGACTAACGCTTTTGTGTTGCTCTGATTCTCTAAAGTCTTTCAACTGGTACGTGTGAATCCCTGCTGGGGTGGCACAAAGTAATAGCTCGATAGTAATTTCAAAACTACAGACACTAACGGTTTTCCAATTTCGGTAAAAACGACGAATGACAACAACAGTCGTGCTGACGATGTTGATGATGACGATGATGATGATGACGACGGTGACTGCTCATTTATATACCTGGCACGCCAAGTGTACCCCCAACACACAACCAAAGTCACTCATTGCCTTGCCTGTCACTTGTCCCGACCAACAGAGTCATCGCTACTGTAAGTGATAGATACATCCACGCCAATTTCTTAATACCTCCACTGATAGATATTTTTTGTGAAAGTGGGCGGTAACTTTTTGGCCAGCACGGCCATGCAGTTTAACTGGCTGACTGACGACCTCAGATCCAACTTGGCGTTGTTGCAGTTTTTGTTGCCTTCGAGGTGGCTGTCTGACTGTTTGACTTATTTTAGTTAAGCTGCAACGGTAGTCTACTCGCCCGCCTGACAACTTGGCACGCGAAATCTGTGTTTGAGCTTTAAGGCGTTGCCGATGTTTATTGAGTTGTCATGTGTCGTTGAATGTATGTGTGTGTGTGTGGCGAAAATGAAAATCATGACAGTTGACAGCTGTTACACGCCCACACGGATGACAACAGTGGTTGTCAGCTGGTTTGTAGTTGGAAGAAAGAATGAGAAGAAACAGATAAAAAAGGCAAATCGAAAAAGATAGAAAAAATTAAAGGAAGAACAAAAAAATAAAACATAAAATATATAATTTAAATTAATTCAAAAGTAAAATGAAACTAAATTTAAATGAAATAAAAAAAATAAAATAAAGTAAAATAAAAAAGTAAATAAAAATAAAACAGAACAAAATAAAGTAATATACAACAAAAAAATAAAGTAAAATAACATAAATAAGATCAAATAAATTAAAATAAAATAATAAAATGAAATAAAGGAAGTAAATTAGAATAAAATAAAATAAAATGAAGTGAATTAAACAATAATAAATAAAAGCAAATGAAATCAAATAAATAAACTAATATATGAATAAGCTAAACTAAGATTAAAAAAAAGAAAGGTAAAGTTGAAAAATCAAATAAAATTAAAAAAAAATAAAAAATCAATAAGTAAATAGGTAAATAAAGTATATTACAAAATCAAGTAAAATCAAACACAGTAAAGAAAAAAATCTTAATAAATTTAAATAAAATAAAATAAAATAAAAATAAAATAAATTAAAATCAATTAAGTAAATAAAATATGCTAAATTTCAGTAAAAAAAGAACAATATAATTAAATAAAATGAAAATAAAATAAATTAAAGAAAAATTGAAATAAATAAAAATAAATAAAAGAATTTAACCAAATTAAAATAGAACTAATTAAAATACAAACAAATAATATAAAATAAATGTTATATGATAGAAATATAAATATTTGCTTAAAATATTTTTTTTTTTTTAGAAAAAATGTAAGAAGTTATCACATTTTTTTGTTAAACAGTTATTTTTAATATTTTTTTTAAATCTGTTAGTCGACAAAGCGACGTTTTAAGCTCGAAAATTATTTTACTCCTTTATTGATTCTCCTCTTGACCATTCATATTTCATTTAATCAAACACAAATTCTGTAATTCTACTATCATTGGAAATAAGTATGAATTTTTCAAAACACTTTCCCAGCGCTTCTGCGGTGAGCCAAAAAGTAAAATTTCTCTTGAACAACAAATATTTTTTGTACATCAATACCCAAGCCAAAAATTTGAAGATAATTCTTTTTTGAACTTATTCTACTTGCTCTTATACCTTAACGAAAGAATGACTGGGATTGTATGCTGAGTGTTGTGGGGTATCAGTGACAGGAAGCGGAAATCCATGTTGATTGATTGATTTTAATTTCCTGCCACAACAAACAAGCACAATTGCAAATTTCACTTTTGAATGTGTGTGTTGCTGTGCACAAGCATAGAAACTCATCTACTACATACATACTTATATACCCGAGCATATGTAACAGCATCCTTTCAGCCCACTCGAGGGAGAAACTCATAGAAACGGAAGAGAATACACAATGACGGAAGCCGAACGAGCAATTGTGTTGTCAGCAAGTTTTCTTTGGGTGCTTGGGCCATCGGTCGGGCAGTCATTGCAGTTCGTCATGCTGAAATGACAAATATGAAAAAAAATTCTACCAAAAATCTCGGAAGCATTCAAATGTATGACAGTTAACTTAAGTCCTGTAGGATGCAGGTTTCACGGGCGCACGTTAGTCAGCTTGCTGGCTTGCTCATCACGCGTTAGTTATGACAATCTGAGAGTATGTGTGTGTGGGTGTGTTGCTGGTCAGGCAATTACTCAAGCTCGTCAGTCACACTGAATTAGTGTATAGTCAGGATAATCATTCAGTTAGGTGGCTATACAGTGATAGAGCTGTTGTTTCTTACACATATTTTCTTTTCAATTTTAGTTTTAGTTAATGTGTGGTAAATTGAAAGATTAGTTATATGACAATAACGCCAAGACAGGATGGTTTAAAGAGGGGGAGGAAGAATAGTAGGGAGTTTTCAATAAAGAGATATATATCTTTATTAATATTATAGTTCAATTTTAAGTTATTGTTATTTACTTCATTTTTTATTTATTTTAATTTTAATTGGTTTTATTTTTTCATTTTACTTACATTAAGTTCTTTTTTTATATTATTTAATTTTTATTTTTTATTTTTTTTTTTTTTTTGTATTTTGCTGATAAACTAAATCAAACTTATTTAGTTTATATTTATTTTATTGTATTCCATTTATTTAGCTTAGTAAACTTAAATGTTTTCCATTTAATTTATTTAATATTAATTATTTTATAGTTTATTTAATATAATTTATTTATATTTATTATATTTTTTTTTTAATTTTTACCTTTCATTTAAGTTTCAATTTATTTTATTTTACTTTTGCAATAATTTAATTGAATTTATTACATTTATTTTGTTTTTTTTATTATGTTTTGTTATATTTTATTCTATTTTATTTTATAATAAAGCATAATAAAAATTAAAACAAAATAATAATTAATAAATTAAATTATATTTGATTTGATTTATTTGTTCATTATGTTTTATTTTATATTTTTTTCTATCTTTATTTTATTTTGATTTATTTCATTTTATTTAATTTATTTCATTACATTTTATTCTTTTCCATTTTATTTTATTTTATTTTATTTTATAACACTTTGCTCCATTCTATTATATTTTTTTATTTTATTTAATAATATTCAATTTATTTATTATATATTTTACTTTAAATTATTTTGTTTTATATTAAATTAATTTATTTCAATTCATTTCATTTAATTATATTTTGTTTTGTTTTATTATAATTTATTTTATTCCATTTTATTTTAGTTTATATTCTTTTATTTTATTTGATTTTCCTTTATTTTATATTTCTTTTTTTATTAAATTTTAATGAATTTTATTTTTATGATTTAATTTAATTTTAATTTTTGTTGTTTTATTTTATTTTATTTTGTTTTTCTTTTTCATTTTGCTTTACTTTATTTAAATTTCTGTACAATATTATAATTTTTTTTTTCATTTGTTTAATTTTATAGTTTTTTTTTGACATTTTATCTTTTTTATATATCTTTTGGCACGATAATTTAATATTATTACTTTTTCTTTATACTCTACTTACTTTCACTGCTCACCCATACTCCCACCGTCAATCGCATTGCAGCTTGTAAATGACTTGTGTTTGTCATCAGTGTCTGACAAGTGTCAGTTGTCAGTTTTCAGCTGTCAGTGCATGCGTGCGTGCGTGCGTGCTTGCGTTGCGCATCAAAGCGTGCGCTGCTCACAAGCACCAAAGCAACCAAAGCAATTTTCAACGCCACCAGAGACACTACCGCGCCGCGCTGCCAACCAATTTACAGCCCTCAAAGCCACAACTTGCTCTTGGCGACCCCAACCCCTGACTGCCACAAGCAATTTGACTAGATTTGTGGCAATGATAGACTCAACACGACCACAAATCAAGCGCCTTGGGGATGATAGAAAAAAATGTCGATGGAAAGGGGAGAGAGAAGTGCTGATGGTGGGCAGGAAGCGCAAAAGTAAGCGTAAATCATCAGCTGATAGTTAATTTTGCACAAATTCGAATCGCTGAAAGGCAGACGAGCAAGCAATTGACATATCAGTGACATCAGAAGAGGAGAAAAATATATATTAACTACTTTTCTGGCTTTGAAAATAAATGCTCTGCCATATCGATATCACTCAAAGGCAAACAAAAAAAAGAAATAAAAGAAATTTATACCACATTAAAAGTGCCGTTGATTTCTTATCTTTGGCCTTAATGCCCATCACTTCACCCCTCATTTTTTGCTTCTATTCTGCTGAGTCACTCAAAAAAAAAAATATAATACGAAAAAACACACACACAAATATATTTCGAAAAGATTGGCTTTCGGCATATCCTTAAATGAATATCCTGCATTAGCACCACTAAGCGCCTAAAGCAACTTACAAACGCTCTTAAGTGTTTTTCGTTCTATTAAATAAATATATTTATGGTCTATGGTTTTCGGCGCAGCGCGTTACTCATCCACTCGTCTGTCACTTACGCGTCGTTGGTATCGGATTTCCGGAAATTTTTGATAGAAAAGTCGTTGGACTATTGCATATGGGTT